AACGCGCCGACGAAGAGCTACCGCCCGGCGGATTTCCGTCGCGTAGGAGAAGCGAATCAGTACGTCCGCGTCCACCGCGATGGCGGTCATCCCGGCAAGGGCCGTGAGCAAGCGGAAGACGGCCTCGACCACTACAGCATCGCCGCCTTCACCGTTCCCGAGGACGGCGCCTATCGGATTGAGTCGGGCTGGCTCGAGCGGCACGACGCAAAGCGATGGGACATCGACCGGGTGGTCGATATCGCGGCCCACGTCAATGACGGGCCAATCCTGTTCCAGCGATTCTGTAACCGCTCGGGTTACGTCGCCTTCCGCGGCCCGCTAGGGAATCTGAAGGCTGGCGACACGGTCTACGTCGGCGTGGGGCCGAACGGCGTCGATCACGGTGACCGCTTCCGCTGGGGCTTCTACATCGTTCGAGAAACCGGCGCAGAGAAGGCAACGGCCGTACCGGGTGATCCCGGCGCGCCGCCGATTTAGCGGCGCGGCTTCTCCTCTCATCATCACTCATCCACGAAGACATGCTTCCAAACATCCGACGCGATCTGTACGCGGCGCCGTCGAGGCGCCACCGCGACGACGCCGTGCGAGGTTTCACCCTCGTCGAGCTGTTGGTGGTGATCGCCATCATCGGCATCCTGGTGGCGCTGTTGCTGCCGGCGGTGCAGGCGGCGCGGGAGGCGGCGCGGCGCGCGCAGTGCCAGAACCAGCTCAAGCAAATCGGGCTGGCGTGCCTCAACTACGAGTCGAGCAAGAACGCCTTCCCGGCCGGTTGCACCGGAAAGGCGATGTACAACGACGACGACACACCGGGCGGCGTAAAGGCAGAGGTGGGGGAGAACTGGTGCATCTCGTTGCTTCCCTTCATGGAGCGGCAATCGCTCCACGACCAGTACGACTTCTCTGGCGCCAAGCACTACAACTCCACCCAAGTGAATGCGTCGGGCGTCTCGAACCAGCAGCTCGGGCGGATCGTCCTCGAAGAATTGGTCTGCCCCTCCGATCAAGACGCGTTGCAGCCATTCGCGGCTCACGGTAACGATTGGGCAGGCAGCACGTACCGCGCGGTCGCCGGGAAGATCGACCTAACCGTTCAGCCCAACCTCCTCTTCTGGGACCGCCTCAACACGAGTCAGAACGCGGCCCGGGCCGAAGCGAAGCAATTCCAAGGCCCGATCATCGCGGCCAGCGATCGGATCAACTCCGATCCGGTGCGGGTCGCCAAGGTGACCGACGGCCTGTCGAAGTCGGCGATGGTCGGCGAGGCCGTCTCCGACCCCACCGCGATCCGCCGCAATGTCTGGGCGTCGGGTTGGCGCTACCACAGCAAGGGGCATTTCATCCGTGATGAGACCGGCCGCAGCTCGATCTTCCGCACCCCTGATCAGACCTTCTGCGCCGCCAGCGCGCGCGAAGTTCCACCGGGACTTGGCGCCGACCCGAACCTCTGCTTCCGCGGCTTTGGCAGCGTCCACTCTGGCGGAGTGCTGCAATTTGTCTTCTGCGACGGATCGGTGCAAAGCATCCCCGAGACCGTCTCCGACGAAGTCTTCCTGGCACTTGGCACCATCGCCGGTGAGGAGGTTGAGTTCTATGACTTCTAAGCCAGGGCTAGGTCTCGCGTTTGTTGCCTTACTGCTTAGCAGTGTGCTGTTGCCGGGCTGCGGATCGGGCGACTTCCGGATGGCGGATGTTTCTGGTGTGGTCACGTTGGACGGTGAGCCGCTGGGCAACGCACGGGTCCAGTTCCAACCGCAGCGCAGCGGAGAAAGCATCGTTGTCGGACCGACCTCGTTCGGTACGACCGACAGCACGGGGAGGTACTCCCTCTCGACCCGCAAGCACGGCAAAGGAGCGGTTGTCGGCACGCACCGCGTGAGCGTCTCGACGTTTGACCAACGACTGGTGGACCCACAGAACTCCGATCGCGTTGAGACGCTAGAGGAAGAACGCGTGCCGGCCCGCTACCGCGCGCCGACGGAGCTCGTCTTCGACGTGCCCCGTAGTGGCTCCGCAGAAGCGAACTTTGGCCTGCAGAGTAAGTGAAACCGACGATCGTAAGCACGACTCCACGAGGAACGCTAGTCCAGCAATCTCTTCCTTCCGCCCCCCACGAGATGACAACATGAGAAGCCTGCTGACATTCATCGCCTGCGCGACGCTGATCCCCTGCAGTTGGTCGCACGCTGCGTTGATCACCCATTTGCCTGTCGGCGATACGACTCCCATTTCCGACGTCCTCGTCGGCGATCTCTTCCTCGACGCGGCTACGACGGGAGGCGGAGACACCAACAATGCTACCGGCGTGCAGAGCACAATCCGAACGCTTGACCTCAATGGGACGGCCGGCGCTCCAGGCGTCGCGGGTTCGGTCTCGGTCCAGGGATTTGCGTTCGCGACAGGCAACAACCTCACAGCGCCTGCCGCTGCCGAGCTGACCTTTACGTTTACCTATCTCGGTCTCGATGGCGCCGTCGGCGGAATGGATGACGTGGTGATTGGCACGACGGAGCCGGTTGTCTTTAACGACGGACTAGGCAACGCGCANNACGTCAATTTCGAGACCGTTCCGACCGCAATGATCGACGGTCTCAATGAAAACTTTCTGGTCTCAATCCTTCCTGCCAACGGCAGCATTCGCTTCAAGACGACTGGGAGCGGCGCTCAGCCTCTATTGAACGCCAAGTTCAGTGTCTCTGGAACCTTCGCCGCAGTGCCCGAGCCCTCAGGGATGCTCATTTTAGGCGTCCTCGGCTCGATCACGGCGTTCACGCGCCGACGCTAACGGCTATTCGACTAGTTGGTTCGCCGCGCGGGGTGGCGCGGCGAACCCTCTTCTCTCGCTAAGCGACTACACCTCCTCTCCCTGGAAATTCCAATCATGAGATTTAGGAACCTGGGCCGGGCGGCCGGCATGTTTTCGGCTGCACTGCTCACCGCCGCGACCGCCAGTGCTCTGGACCTTGTCAAAGGTTTTGAACGGGGCATGAATCTGCCCGAGCAGCTTGGCGGCGACTTCATCCTTGACGAAGCCGCTACGGGAGGAGGCGATTTTGCCGACCAAACGGCCCCGGGTTTCGCGACGTGGGTCGCCCAGTACAACAACATCTGGACCGCGGGCGATGCGGTTTCCATCTCGGGCCTCGCGATTCCGATCGTGGCCAACGATGCGGCGGGTACGAACAACTCGCAGCCAGGCGATTGGACGTTCACGTTCTTCGAGCTCTCGGGCGGCGCCAACCCGAACCTCTTTGACGGCTACAGCTTCAGTACGATGACCGGAGAGCCGATTCTCGGCACGGTGACCGCTACGCTCCAGCCTTACACCGGCAACCAG